ACGGGGATTTGAGTCCCCAAAAGCCGGACATGTCCGGGAAAATCCGGACGTATGGTAACCCTACTAATTCCCTTAATTGTTTAAAGTTTGTCCTGCTGAAATCAAGGACTCGAGCTACAGACCTATTTTTGTTTATCCTTCCATTTAGTTTAAACTGAGTTAACTCATGATCACTCTAGCCAAGGTTGTCCTCTACAGCCAGTTCTTCTCTGAGGTCCTCACTACTTACCAATACTAAATTCAAAATGTCATCACCTCTTGTTGGTTCAGTGACTATTTGGTGAAGAAATCTGTCAGCTATCATTATTAGTAGCACTTGTCGTCCAATCTAATTTAGGAAATTAAAGTCTCCTATAATCACACAATTCCCAGTAATATTTATTTAATTAAAAATATTAAAGAGGTCTCTTTCTATATCCAAATCAGGATCTGTAGCAGATCCCAAGTGCTATCCCTGTGGAACGTCTGTTACCCTTCTTCCCCAAAGTGATTTTGACTCAAAACAGATTTTGTTCTATCCATTCCATCACTTCTAATTTCTTTTCAGTCTACTCCTCATTAATATACAATGCTACTCCACCACTTTTAACCTTTATTTCTGTCTTTACTGAACAGCACATACCCATTAATATCTGCAGTCCAGTCAGAACTCCTATTCCACCATGTTTCTATCATAACTATAATATCCAGTTTCACTTTCTGCACCAGGAGTTCTAGTTCCTTCATTTTGTTATCTAGGCTCCTTGCATTGGTGTACAGACATCTTAGTTGTTTCTGCTTGGCTTCATTTAGATTCCTCACCCGATTAGGTACAGTCATGTTACTACCAGTATCGCCTACCTGGCTGTTACTGTCATTGGTATTAACACTATCTTTCCTCTTGTCCATTCTCCTACCCTCTGTTTTTCTTCTCTCCATTGCTGTATCTTCTTTTACTTGATTTTCCTCCCACTCAATATTAGAATTAGGTGTGGAGATTAAACGAGCATCTCCCAATCATCTTGCCCAAACTCCTAGCTTAAAGATCATTAGATGTCTGCCATTCTGTTTAGTTAAACATTTTTCAGAGATCAAAGTAGCACACTGATTCATGATGCTAGGTGTTCAGCTTATGAACCCTACTGCATAAATAAATGCGGCTTTTTCCATTTTCAACTACCAGCAATGTACATCTTTGGAATGTCTCTCATTTTGTTCAAGTCAAGATGAGAGCAAGGGATTAGCCAAGAGACGTACAAATTGAGAAATTACTTTATGGACTTCTCCCATCAGCACTGATTAAATTAAATCATAGCATTAAATACAACATTTGGGAAGAGACTGATTAGTGAATGGTAATTGTTTTTTGCTAACTAAAAGAATGATTTAGACAACCCAACACCCTATTCTGCACTGCACATCAATTTCTTTAATTAAATGTTAAATTAAATCCTCTGAAAAGCCAATAGTTGTAAAAATATGCAAGATGAACTTCTGGAGCATTCATGAATCTCACTCAGGGCTCTTTAAATATACTCTATTACTACAGACTGATACAAGTAGGGGGAGAAAAATCAGATATCTGAAACAACGAACAGCAGGGCATGGTCACAACTGAAATGGATTTGCATGAGTCTGTATATGTAAGCATGCATTCTCCCTTCTAGGGTGGATTACCTTGAGTGCAGGCAGGCTGAAGCCATCTGTGAGATTGTGTGCCTCCTCTTCGGACACCTGCTCTTCACTCAGACCCAGACCCAGTTCCTTAAAAGGAACTACGCAGATGTAGTTGGTCACGTTGTCACTCTCCGCATTCAGAGGGTAGGTTTAGTCAGAGTTAAAGCAGTTAACAAAGAAGCTTTTGTACTAAATGGAAAAGAGGGGGTGGGGGGAAGGGGCAAAGCAACTAATAATCTCCAATTACTAAGGATCTTTCTTTCTGGCAAGTTCCTGGAGAGCACACTCAGTCCAAGTCCAGTTTTAAGTGATCAATGAGTACGGTTGTACGCTGAATAGGTTTTAAAGGCTCAAATGTTTACAATAAGTTGTAGACAAAGGATACTGCAACAATAAAGATAATAAACAGCTAATAAATAATCCCTGCATTCCTTTAATTGATGATTTTGCAGAGATTTCCTCAAAGAGCTAGTTCATAATAAACTCTAATGACAGCCTTAAAATTAAAAAGTACACATTCAACAAGTTAAGAGCAATACTGCCAGAGACAAGAAAATTTTGGGTAATGCACGTTTCATGGTTTGTGTGTTTTATATAAGTCAGGATAACCAGGCGATTTCCCTATGAACTATTTTTTGTGGAGGATGAGCAATATTAAAGCAAATCACATATCTGCAGATTTTTAAAAAGCAGTTTTTAAAAATTTCTTACATGAATAGTAGAAAATGCCAAATTTTCACATTGCTGATGCAATAAATTCATCAGTCTCACAAACGTCTCAGCTATAACATGGCGTGTCGTAAGATCTCATGTCACGAAAACTTAATTTCTTTAAAACATTTTATGAACATAGTATACCAGAGTACCTACTTCTGTAGTAGCTACAATATATTGTCAAATGATAAGTCAAAATAAGTGAAAACATATTTTATGAGGCAGTATCTTTGTTTCATTATATTCACCTACTTAATCATTTGCAAAATTAGGTGATTAGCAATGGGTTTCACAGTTATCAGCATGATCATACAAATACTTAAGCATGTGCTTAATCTTATGCATGTGAGTAATCCCATTGAAGTAACAGCTCAAATGAGACTTCTCACAGGCATAAAGTTAAGCACACAGAAAAATGCTTGCAGGCTTGGGGCCTTAAGGACTGATCCAAAGCACACTGAAATTAATGGGAATCTTTCTATTGACTTCAATGGGCTTTGGATGAGATACAAAGGGTTATGTCTACACTGAAACTAAAAGCCTATGGCTGGCCAATGCCAGCTGACTCAGGTTAAGGGACTGTTTAATTATAGTGTAGACATTCAGGCCAGGGCCAGCTCCATCTTTTTTGCCACCCCAAGTGGCGAAGAAAAAAAAACAAAAACAAAAACCCTGATTAATGAAGGACCCACCGCCGAATTGTTGCCAAAGACTGAAGCGGCGCGACTGAGCTGCCGCCAAAGAGGAAGTGAGGGACTGAAGGACCCGCCGCCGAATTGCCGTTGCACACCCGGACATGCCGCCCCAACAACGGACGGAGTGCCGCTCCTTTCTATTGGCCGCCCCAGGCACCTGCTTCCTTCGCTGGTGCCGGCCATGATTCAGGTGCTAGTACCCTGTCAGAGTGCAGGGATCCAGAGCTCAGGCTGCCGCCCAAGCCCAATTGTCTACATTACAATTAAATGGTTCCTTAGTCTGAGCCCTGCAAACTCTAGTCAGTTGGCTTGGCCAGCCCAGGGTTTTTAATTGCAGTGTAGACATACCCTTAGTGATCTTCTACTGTAGGATATCTGCAGGTTCCCTGTCTCAACAACAATTACTCAGTTTTCTCCAAAAACAGCATGTGTGCCTGTTTTTTGTTTTGTTTGGGAAGATGAGAGGTACAAAGTATATCAGAGAATCATGCTACCAGGTTTATGTCACCAAAAATGCAGGTGTTTTAATGTACCATGAATAATGAAGTTGTATATAAAGGGAGATGCATCTATTGATGCTATAGTTATGCAGTCACATTTTATATTTTCCTTCTAGCCAACAAGTTATTTTCCGTTGATTTTTGAAAACATAAAATACTTTGCTCTGCATGCTGAAGAGAGTAATGGGCTTCATAAACCATCTGTGCCAATTTATAGGACATGGCTAAGATTGTCCAAATTCCATAGACTACATAATGGATGCAGTACTTTTCAATGTATTGTATTGCAGAGCAAAAAGAACATACCTTCATAGGAAAATATTCTTACAAATATAGAAGCTTAATAAAGTTTAATGTCAATAAATACAAGAATTGTGAAGTAAAAGTAATGAACCATAGCATTAAAGGATGGCAAATCCTCCGTAGGGTCAATGATACTATACAAATCTGAAGTAACATTTTTGTGGTAAGTCAATGGCTACACTACCACAAAAAGTTTAGGAACAGCTGGAAAACTGGTCTGGGGTTTTGCTAGGATATAAATATACAAGCAATGATGCAAGTAACAAGATATCAAGTGTAAAATTTCAGTTCCAAATTATGTCAGGTTACAACCACAATACTGAAGTTGCGCCCTGTAGAACTTTTTTCAACTGCAAGGCTTTAATGTCACCAACAATCAAAATGTTGATGTTGAAGTACCTCACAGCAAAGTCATATTGTTTTGGGTTATATTAATCTATGGAATCTTGTCTTTAAAATTAAGTGATTCTAACACCTTTGCTGCTAAGGGAATGTATTTTCTATAAATGGAACAAAACAGTATATTCACGTTAAATCTGTATACAAATATTGGCATCTTGACTATTCAAATTCTATTCTATTCTGCACTATTCTAAATAGGTTCTTATTCTGCACTCAGCACACACATGTATCTGAGCAACTTCCAGTAGTGCATTACAGGACTTCCATCTGTCACATGTGGTTCATTCTCTCTCATCCTCTCTCCAGTGGGAGAACTGTGCAGGCAATATAGTCTTATTTTGGTAGGGTTTAGTTTTGTTTTAAACGTATACTGCTCTAGGTTTAAGTTAGAGAAGCCAGGTTGAAGAAGTGCTCCTTGCTCTTGGAGCAGATGATGGTGAGGTTTGTGATGGTCCTTAGTTCCTGTGGGAATTTGTTCCACAGTCTGAAACAAGCCTCCAAGAAAGTTCTGTCTTCTGAACTGACAAACTTTACCCTTACAGTAGAGAATTCCATTGTGCCTTAGGACCAGAGTGGTCAACCATGGTCTTCATCCTGGAAATTTAGCTGATATTTCAGGTATTCTGGACCCAGGCCATGGAGTACTTTGAGGGTAAGGACTCAGAACTTAACTTGGCTTGATATTCTATGGGAAACTAGCGTTGAGAGACGAGGACAGTTTTAATGTGTTTGTGGTAGCCTGTGTTGCTGAGCAGACATACTGCAGTGTTCTGTATTAGTTGGAGTTGCCTAAGCAATGAAGGCTTCATACCTAGGTATCTCGCATTGCTGCAGTCCAGAAAGGGGTTGACAAAGGTTTGAATAGCTGAGGCTAAGTCAGAGTCCACCAGGATGGGACAGAGTCTGCTAGCCAACTGGAGAAAGTGTTACTCACAGAGGCTGCTATGTCAGGGATTAATGTCAGCCAGGACTCCTGGAACACGTCTACACCACACCCTGAATTGGCCAATAGTGGATGTGTGCTTTCAACCAAAAGGAGAATGTACCGTGGCTACAAACTCTTCAGTGTGTTTTCCTCTGCCCACCAACATAAACTCTGTCTTACTCAGATTCAACCAGCTCTTCTTCCATCCATGAGCCGATTTAGTCCCATTTCTGGGCTGTCTTGATGGTGGTTGTATGTAGTAAAAGGTAAGTAGGTCTGACTCTCATCAGACACATCCTGCTTCCTCTCCCCACCAGCCACACAAAAAATAAAGAGATAATATGGGTTATGAGAACATAATATGTAAGCCACCACCATGGGCAGCAGCCATTTTAGATATACTATACCCTGTGTGCAATAGCCTCATTTCACCCCTCCCCACTGCCTCCTACTACATCACCAGCTTCAGAATCCCATTCTCTCCTGATGCCCAACTTTCTTGCTCAGTTCCCGGCCCTCTGTAGTAGATTGGGGGAGGTGGGGTGGGAGGAGGGTTGTTACTGGAAGGTACATGGTAATACTTTTATTATCAACCCTACTATTTGATATTCTGTGAACACTGAAAGCTATTTGTCTCATCCCTAGTGTTTGCCAGTCCTGTGCTTCAATATTTTTAGGATTTTGAGTTAGAGGCTTGAACTATTTCAAACCTTAATGAATGCCTGCTCTATTCAGAATATGTTGTATAAGTTACATGCACTGAGTTTGTCTAATTAATTTGTGCTTTGTAGTAGTTTTACTTTGTGGTGGGTATCATGTGTTACCAACTTTTGCAATAACTGGTATTTTAATTAAAGTCTGAGCTGCTGGAATTGAGATTGCATGAGAATCTCAGCTTCCAACAGAACACAACAACAACAACAAAATGTTTTCTAGCTTTTGGATGTGGAGAAATGCTTGAAAAATGAAAAGTGGATGTAACCTAACAACCCCAACCCAAACGGCAAACAAAAAGATACCATGTTCTTTAAAAAAATACAAAAACAAACAACCCACCTCCCCCCAAAGCCTCATGATTTTAAGCCAATCTTTTTTTTTTTTTTGGTGGGTGGGGGGATGACTCATGATTTTTGAGCATTTAGGCTATCTGGTCACAAAATAGAAAACTTTCATCTGGAAATATTGAATTGCTATCATATATCTACAGAAACCTTTACCCTGCAGAACTCTGAAAATGTTTCTCTTATAAAGTCCTAAGGGGGAAAAAAGATTTAATTCAAACCACGTTTCTTTAATTTCTATTTTGATTTGGGTTTGCAAACGCAATGCTCCCTTCCTCTGGGATCATATAAGGCCCAGCAGAGGCACTGGTCTCCTGCCCAGCTGGCTAAACTGTTTTCTGGGATAGTTAATTACAAGTTCCACCCTTTCACTCCCAGACTCAAATGATTTTCCACCTGTTTAATTCTCACAGGATTAAAACAAAACAAAACAATCTGCCCCATAAAATAATTTTACCACTTGAGCAGAAAAAGCAGCGCCTGTAATGAAGCTTTGGTGGCCCATGAGAAAGAAGCATTGAATGTGCACCTCCAAACAGGCAGAACTT